TCTACATTTGTGGTGAATAGAAATAAAATCTTCAATGATACAACCCTTTCTAAGGTGGACTGCAATTCAAAAACACCAAGAGACATCATAGCAGTGGTCAAATACAATAAGCTATAAATCTAACTAAAGAGAGTAACTAGATCCATTTATAATAACAGAATATCTATTTTAACAGTAATGTAGTACAATGGCAATTTTTAATTGTTAATTGTTCTGCTTTGGACAGTTTCTTTTCTTGGGAGCAACAAGAATTACAGTATACCTTTCACAACATTACATAAAACAACAACAACAACAATAACAATGTACTAAATATATGTGACTGCAACATGCAAATAATAGTAAAACAAATTTGTGATTTGAGATTTCCCATGTCACAACAAACCTCTGGAGTAGTTCCTGAATTATTGTCCTCAGTTCCTGACATTTCTTTCTTGCCAGCATACAAAAGAAGGCAAATGTATGAGCTGAATATAAACATTTTGTTCAGCAAGGCATTTTGCCACCAAATCTAAAAAGAAAATTAAAACGAGATTCAGAACTGATTCTCTGATAACTCCTATTAGTACCATGTTTGCTATAACCAAACTGTTGGTGCTAGAAAGTATACAAGTATTTTGTACTTTATCAATGAGATCAACCAAATGAATGCTTCTCATAGAAAACAGTAAGAAACACTATATCAGCCACTTCAGTGAAATTCTGTTCCATAGATGACATATTTTCTTTTTAGACATTGATATGAAATAGAGATTTTTCAGTAGAAAACATTTCTTTCGGTAGTTCGATTTTACAATACTTGTTCCAGCTGTTCAACAAACAGCTGTCGACTAACATGCTGTATTCTGAAGGGCTCTTCATATCAATCATAACATTTCTTAGAATGGCGTTCACATGACAAACAGTGAGTAAAGAAGTTCATAAACTTAAAGCTGCCTTGCCATTGAGTTGAGTGGTGCATCCTAGCCATTAAAGTAAACAAAAAATTCATTTATTTTTTTTATAGGTAGATGTTCCATCAAACTGTACCTAGCAGGCAACAGAAAACGTGACAACCGGTGGAGTTCAAATTTTCTAAAAAACAAACATCAAGGAGTACAGCATTCTGAACTTTGGTGCAAAGAGTCTCTCAGCTGTTCAATGGAAACCAGTTACGCTTACCGTCTGATATGAAACATGAATGGTGAAGTTCCAGAAATAAGGCGGTTCAAATGAAGCATTCCCTAAGCAGTACATGAAAACTTAAGAATCAACTTCTTAATTTAGAAGAAAATGGAAGTGCAATATATGTGAGTTTTCTGAGAGCAAAGGAAAATAAATGTTTTAAAGTAACTATAAAATCAAGGATTTTATTTAAGAGGGACAGCTTTTAACAGACTACTGTTATGTTCATTTCACACATCAACATGATAAAAAACTTTTTAGAATATGGCCTTGTTATCAGCACCATTTTCATACACTAAGCCACATATAACAAAAGTTATAATTTAGAGCATGATTACATAAATCTATATCAAGGACATTTGAGAAATATTTTGAAATCCTTCAAAAGACTGATAGTGTAACAGCTAAATATGAGACATTCATATATGAGAGAAGTTTGGTTAAGGCAGAGAATGCAGAGCTCAATATTCCTTTAAAAAAAAAATTAATAATAATCCGGTACAATTTTTAGTGATGTATTGTGGCTATTATTTCAAACAACAGATAGTAATAAAAATCTATAAACACCATTGAAGCAACGTTCAAACAAAACTTTAACAGTCACAGTGATACAAAACTGTAATGAAGTAAACATACGTAAGTGATGATTTGAGGCTAGTAAGTGAGAAGGATCTGTGAAAAAACTGAGGGTGGTGCCTTCCATCTCACACTTGCTGATAAATGAAAGTTGCATAACATAAGTTTTTGAAGAGACAGTTCACTTTCCAGAAATGTCTTAATTGGTCAGAGTCCTCATAATGTTATGGATTAAAACAAATCCAATATTTTATTCACGACTCTATACTGGTCCCTTCAACATCATACACATGGGACAGAATAACATTAAATTTCTGGAGCAGCACATGGCAGACAAAGTCAACATTGAAATCTGCAATTGATTATTTCAACAACATAAAATATGTAATATTTAATACTTACAACTTAGATAAAATACTGTACTCTAATAAAACCATCTACAACTTGTAGCTTTCATTAGAATACCCATGCACAAAGACAAGTGGGAACATGTGCGTGGGAATTGTAGTTGTGGCTTTTCAGAGCCAGTTCATTTGGTTTTGAAATAAATACATAGGACTGTATGAGCCAATTAAATCCATCATAGCCATCAGGTATCTCTATGACTTAAATTGTAACTGAAATTATTTTGATGCAAAGGTTTTGTGAAAACCATGCAGAAAACACTACCATGATCACTACCATAATGGTCGGAAAATTTAAATCCATTTTGCATCAAATTTGACGCACATAACAAAGACAATATTCACAATAACTATGATCAGTTTCAACACAGCTTGCTAATAAGTAGCTTGAGTCAAGTTCCACATTGAAATTCTCTTAATTATCGTCATGGATCTCAAGACCCATTTTACCAAAACGCAGGTGCGGGCGGTAGCGGTGGCTGCACATCAGCTTCTGGTCCGAAGAATGACGGTCCATCAAGGGGGTCATCCTGGTAGAAATTGTCCCCTGGGATGTGTCTTGGCCTCGGCATAGGGCCTACAGGAGGGCCGTTCCCGCGCCCCTTCCCCCGCCCTGCCGGCGCCTGGTGCGGCGCATGAGGAGGCCGAGGTCGAGGTCCTCTCACGAGGGGCGGAGGCCTCAGCGGCCTTGGTCCGGCAGGCCCGGGCGGCCGCATGCCATGTCCCGGCCTCGGCCCAGGCCCACGCGCCCCGCCAATGGGACCTCTCTGGGAGCGAGGAGCGCCCAGCGGAGGTCGTGGACCCATAGGGGGTCCCATGGGCGGCCCTATGGGAGGTCCCAAAGGGGGTCCCATGGGTGGCGCGCCCAGTGGCCCTAACGGACCAAGAGGTCTTGGACCTCGTGGCCCTGCTCCAGGGCCGCAGGGCCCCATAGGAGCCCGAGGGCCCATAGGCAGTCCGGGGCCCATCATGGGAGGCACGGGCATTGGGCAGGGGCCCATTGGCACTCCAGGCAGAACCTCATACTTCAAAGGGTCTACCCGTTCCAGTAGCACCACTAGGCAGCAATGTAAAGTGTGGGGGGCCAAATCTACTGGAATGACTCGTACTGGCACTAATGGCTTGCTCGGCTGCTTGGTAAAATAAGCAGGGGCTGCAAATTCAATAAAGTTTTTGTGAATGACACGCTGGCTTGAGACAATGTACACAACTTTTGACAGATTTTTACACTTGCGAAGTTCTGCCACAACAGATGGTCCTGAAAGAAGATAGACGGATAATTGATTAATATGAGGTAAACCTTTTCTTCTTTTTTTTGGGGGGGGGGGGGAATGATTCAAGTTCAGACATTTGCCAACTTACCCAGACCATCTCTAGGTGGATCAACTATTGCAACAACTTTTTTTCCTGTACACCTTTTAAGAACTGAGGGTAAAACTTCTTCAGCCCGGCCACTTATGAATTCACAATTGGTTAATCCATTCTTCTCTGCATTAGCTTTACCATCATTTACACTGGATTCAACAACATCAATCCCAAACACCTCTTTGGCTTTCTATTATAAAAATGGACCAAGCACAGATAGATTAAGTTATTCCAAGGAAATAGCATTGCAAAACACTACAAAATAAGCAAAACAAGAAGTTTACCTTTGCAAGTGTCATTGCGATTCCACCAGATGCACAACAAATATCTAATACACTTGTTTCTGCATCAATATGTGCCAGTTCAGAAACAGCGCTGTACAACTTCTCCCCTGCACTTTTATTGACTTGAAAGAAACTGGTGGGGCTTATAATGAAGGACAAACCAATGTCCGATAATATATCTTCAATGCAATCGGTTCCCCATAATTTCACAGGTGGCTTTTCAGATTCTGGACAATTTCTGAGACGAAATAATAAGATCAATAGTTTTGTTACTAACTATAGTCAGCTGTGCTTTTAGCTTTTAGGTAAAAGAATGATATGTAAATAACTCAAAATATGTAAGCACAACTTACTTGTCAACTGACAAGGAGTACAGTTTGCAGTACAGAGACACAACACCGTGGTCTCTCCCTTCACGGTTCACAAAAAAGTCAACAAGATCTGCATTTACAGCTTCAACAGCTTCCGGGGAAAGTTCTCTTGGGTGAAAAACCACCATTACCAAAATTTCCTCATTTGATCCTACTCTGATAACAATATTACGCCAATGCCCATTTGATGTCGAAAATGGTGGAAGGTCTGAGGCCTTTATGTAGGCATCAAATACCTTTAACATAAATCCAATAGTTTGGTTAAACTAACTTTATTTTCTAAGAAATTAATAAGAAACTTTTAAGGCCTATTTACGATTGTCTTCTATGATAATAAATCAAATTTCCATAGCAATGGTCATTTACAATCAATTCTTAGCATTAAAGAAACCATAGCTAGCCACTGGGTTACGGTAATTAAAATCCTTAAAAGAATTTGTCCGTCCGAGCGTCTGAGAAGACCAGACTAGCCACCGCGCGACACACAAGGCAAAAACACAAACTTAATTTAACCACAGAAGTATGCAGAAACAATGGCAAGTGCTCCTTCTCAAAGAAAACCTTCAGTTATAATATACATAAATACATAAAAAAATATCATATATGCCAAAACAATCGTAAATGAGCCTTTAAAACAAAAGTAGTCTTTAAGTTGATAGCAGAAGAAAAGAGTGTGAGTAGTTTGCTTACCTCCACAATTTTTTTCATACTATCTGGAAACTGTTTGAATTCATCACCAGGCTTCACAGAAATTGCATAATCTGATTGGTAGTCCAGTTTTAAGCCGACTGTAGGCTGTTTAGAGTCCGGATCAACACCTACAAAAAGAAAACTGGTCACTCAGGTACTCATTGAACTGAATAGTGCTATCCATAATAGTGCTCACCAATTTTGAAATCATATTTGTTACGGTAGCCATCAACGATAGGGGAACCAATTACTTTCTGCAATAAGAGAGCATCTCCCTTGTGCTTCTGCAGCTGGTTGTGCCACCATCCTACAAGATCTGGATTATGTGACACTAGTACCTCTCCTAAATGCCTTGTTCCATTTCTGGCCTCCTCAAAAAGTTGTGAAAGCTGTATAGAGAAACACATTGGTATGTATGGAACTTTGTCAGATAAATAACATCACCAAGATCTGGGAGTACACGTAAGAATATACCTGTTCCTTGTAAGGTATATGTTGATTTGAGCAGTTAAATCTGAAGACTTTTTCACGAGGAGTTAGGTTTCTGGCCTTCTTACCACCTACTTCATCACCAAGTCTGTCATTAGGCTTTCTTTTAAAGTCTGAAGAAGTAGCTTTCTGGATGTAATACAAAGGATAATAGTAATTAAATTTTTGCAGGTGTTTCTCCAGAAATAGATGCGTATTGAAAACTAATGTGAGCTTACAACACATGTTATCTCATTCCCTCGCCATTTTTTGTGACTGATTGCGTCCACTGCAAGTTTAATTTGTTCTTCTTCAGCACAAGTTAACATAACAATGTTCGCTGCTGTTGGTAAGACAGAGAGTTCAGTAAAGGTTACAAGTAACTCTTCGGATAACCATTTCCTGAAATCCTGTACACAAAAACATTCAAAAAATATAAATACCATCTAATTATATTAATATCTTCACACAAAATTTAGTGAATGAATTACCTCTAGACAGTAGGACGAAGGAAGACCTGTGATTTTGGCTTTCAGACTTACAGCTGAATTTGTAGATGCCTTTCCATTGACCATATTTGAAGTTTCAGTCATACCATTAGAAGACATTGATTCCCCAGTTTTTGCTGCCATCCTCCCTGGAAATTGCCAGTGATTGATATCTAGTTAAAATTTATTCTTATTTCAATGCCTCACACTTGCCATAAAACTCCTTTCTCTAACAAGCTTAAAACATGCTCATGTAAACAATGAAATTAAGTAAGTTGAAATACACGAATAGAGAAAAATCTTGTGACATTTATGTTCGAACTTTTCCAGAATTTCTTTTTACAACCTAACCTTACTAACCTTCAAACGTCAACATTCAGTTTACATAATTTAAGAGAAAAAGTCTCCGTCCGTTGAAGATACAAAATCATAGACAATTTTTGAAATTTCAAGTTGCATAAATCAACCGTTCTACAAGATAAAAACTGCTGTAAAGCATTTTTAAAGGTCGGATTTGGAAGACACCCGGCTCTCTAGATATGGAAATTGCAGTAGCGGCATAAGGCCGATCTTAATTCAGATAGGAATCTTGGTAATAGGTAGAGCACGTAGGGTGTACAAAACGAGGCACATAAGGTAAAATCGAAAGAATCACTTGTTCGAGAGTGCCAATTTCATCAAATTTATGAACCACTGGTGGTGATAGTTGTGGTTGGTGGAAGATGGAAGATATGCGACCCAGATCACCAGTGTCACGCTAGTGTAATAACTTTCTTCTATAAACATTTGCTGATAGATCACACAACCGTCACCTTTTTGCCTCTTAATCGTGAAGAATTGTCAATGGAAACCGAGAAATGCACGAACACGGGCTAATGGATGATGCTCTTTAAGTCACAAACACACAACACACGATCTGTCCTGATCCTTTCCATTACGGAAAAACAAAACAAAAAAAACAAACAACTAAAACAACAACTTTTTTTACGGGTATGGGTTTTAAAATATCAAGTGTGCCAGGGTTTTATACCACCTACCTCATGTCAAACCATAATTTACACTACTACCCTTTCATTTTTTATATTGTATGTCATTATTAATTTCGTCAATAATGAGGATGAAAGAAAGAAGAAATATAAGTGAATATGTTGGCAACAATTTAAGAGACAAAACTGGATTTAAATTAAGCCGCGAATTAAAACACCGTCCGCGTCGAGTGCTTAGGCTGTAAGTTATTGAAATCGGTCTTAATTTCCATATATTCATCGGATTTAAAAATTAGAAACAAACAAACATTAATTTGAAGAATTTTTATTATTTGCAACACATTTACAGCACTGCAGACAGCATACTCATGTACAGTCAACATTGCGTTTACTGGACAAACAGAAAATTCAGCCAGATGTACGTGGAGACAGTTGCTGAGATCAATCAGATCTGGAAGTCATATTCCTGACACTAAACAAAAATGCTGGCTCGCTTAGGATAAATCTAGGACTGACCAGGTCAACTTGAAAAATCAAAGATAAAGCCGCTGTTCCTCCTAGGTTCAGTAAAATAAGTTAGCGGCACTTTAAACCAAGAAGTGCAACAGAATTGAGACCAGTGTGGTCAGTGCTCTTGAATTTTATTTTCTTTGCAATCATGGAGGAGTGGTACTAATTCTTTCAACAAAACATGCTGGAGTAATGTGGCTCTTTTTCACAGTTTCAACAGATTTCTAGAGGTCAATCACATCCAGCTGACTGAACCTGGGAGCACATAGATTAGAAAAAAAACAACAGAAATAAACACAAATCCACTACTAGCCTTCCTATAGGTACAATTTTATACACCTAACTAATTCCTGAGCGCAGCTATGCCACCCCAAGACAAAAATAATGTAAGATACTTTGATTAAGAATTGGAAAATGAATTCTTATGTTAAAGTACTTATATCACAGCAATCATAGAATTTTAATGCCTATCTCAAGCTATGAAATGGTATTTCATATGTTAGAACTAAATAATAGAAATGAAATTAAGCCACATCACATGAACAGTGGAACGTCATCGTCAATCTTGCACAACAGATACCAAGCAAAGGATAGACAATGATAGTTAGAAAACAAATTATAGATAAGAAGTTATATGCCAGTTAGAAAATCTTTTTTGTATGCTTTATCCCCAATGAAGAGCCCTAAACGAATAATGGCATCTGGGCAGGCTTCAATGCAAATATCACTTTCATTTTCAGTTCCATCAGCGTCGGCTGTAAAAATATATTTGAATATATATCAGAGCAAATCATGACACTGTACTATTGGAGAGAATGGACACAGAAAACTAGATAACTCAATTATTGTTGAAATAGAACTGACTAACCTCGAATAATTGTACTTTTCTTTGAAAATAGGGATGGTTTGTGAGATCGAATTATAACACTCCAGTGGATACATCCCAGCTTCTGCAAAATCTGACAAGTAAAATAGGAAAATTAATAGAAATGCCATTTGAGAGTTTAATTAAGAAAAACTGACTTACTGACCTCGCAAAGCTCTCGAGAATGGAAAGGTTGAATAGCAGGCGAAAACCTCACTCCTATCTTCTCCAATGAGCACCCAGGTTCTGACATGCAGTATCCAAGCATGGACCCAAGTAAGCGATCTAACACACGTCTGTTAACACTGCCATCCACTCTAATCCATGGTCTAATACTGACACGTATTCTATCTGATGGTCTACAAAATTAACAAATAGTCAAAGTCATGTTGGGAGGAATTATGATCCTATAGTCATATGAAAACTACTTACATGTTGTCCATTTCATTTAGAGAACCTACTGGCCCTTCTTGAAGACGAGCTACCCCACGTTTAGTTCGAGAATTTCGAAGATGTAAGACTTTTCTTGTCCCAGAGTGTGATGTACTAGGTTCCTCTGAATCATTGTCTATTGACTCTGATGGATCATCCACTGATTCTTCTCTCAAATCTTCGAAATCGTCTATCTCTTCAGCTTCTTCTTGCTCAACATCATCGTCTCCATCTTCAATGGGTTCCTCAGCAACCTCTTCACCAATTCCTTCAATCTCTAAAAGGCTATCATCAGTTGTTTCACCGGCAGGGCGTACTGTTAAATCAAAGATAGATTAATTTTGAAAACTGCTGAAGTAATAAGCAAATTCTACAGTGTCATGAAAGATATAACATAGAGTTCTACCTTCATCTCCAGCCAAAGCCATGACTTTGCCATCAGTGGGAGTAAGCTTCTCACGGTCTAAGCGCAGCAACTTCTTTGAATGGATGAGCCAAGGGCGAACTTTTCTGTAGTGAACTATGACAAGTTTAGTGACACCAGCACGCAGTAAAAGTTGTTCATCAACAAGAGCTCCCAATGTCACACAAAAAATTGATTTAAAATTTGAAAATGTTTCCTGAAAATGTAGAATGGAAGTAGAAGCAATAGTTAAAGGTTTACAGATGAAAGTCCAAATCACAGAGTCAACAAATATCAATTACCCGTAAATCATTCATTGATGCACCAAATTCATTTTTAGATGATATAAATAATAGTAATGACCTCATTAGTGGTCCATCATACCCTCTGGAAACTAAATCAGTTAGTATCTCTTCTTCTGGGAGAGTTGGTCCAACAAAAACCGCTTTTCTGTAGGATCATAAGTAAAGGTAAAATAAATAAAATGAGTAGGTGACAGTCAAATAACTAATGTTGAAGAAATGTTATCTAATCAAGGAAAAACAAAGTGGAACTACTTTTTGATATCTTCAAGAACTTCTGTGGCAAGAGCAGCATTTACAGGGAGCAGAGATCTAGACACACCACATTTGATCCTTGACCCCTTTGGATCTATTCCAACAAGTGCCTCTGTTGGTGCATCAGTAGATAAATCTTCTTTGAGACGACACACCACCTGGAAATATTAAAAGCTGTCAGTTTCTGAGAAAATATGATAAAATTGTCAAACATAAGTTAATTTTAAGATAGAATATTTACTTTGCAAGAATTCACAACAAAGAAGTCATGGGCATGTTGGGTTTCTTGGAATTTACCAACATCAGACTTCTCATTTTCCTCTCTCATCATGTAAAGAGCTATACGCGTGGCTGCTCGAGCCACAGCGCACTGTGGAGTGCTAAGAGAAGCTACAAAACCTAAGAAACAAATGGTAAAAATTAACAAACACTAATCAAGTAATAATTACAGATTGATGAAGATAAATTTAAGACACATAGATTGAAACTCTACCCTTATCTTCATCTTCACTGTCACTCAGGTCACCTTCAGCTTCACTGGAGATACTTTTTTTATTCTTCTTTGTCATTGAAGCAATGGGTGTATTAGAAGCGTTCCCCTTACTGTTACCTTTCTTCTTAAGAGCACTTAGCTCAGACTTATCACCAGCTTCCCCTTCTTTACTATCCCAAATATCATCCCTTGAAAGGATATCTACGAAAGGCTTTTCACTGGCTGATAGGTCGGCTTTAGCTGACTTCGATGCTACATCCCTGCCCACATTACACTTGCGTAGGATGTCACGATACCTCTGCAAATATAATAAAATGTGGATAAAAGTTAGTTAGATAGATAGATAGATAGATAGATAGTTAGATAGATAGATAGTTAGATAGATAGATAGTTAGATAGATGAACTAGTTTTCTAACTTCAACAATTCTGCTGTATGTCTCATCAGTGCCAGATCTTGGTATTCTAGGATCCAGTATTATGAGCTGCTCTGGAATAGTGATTTGGAAATTTAACTGCAATGAAAATTAAAATAGTATCATTGTATTAAGTCTTTGCATAAAGAAAAGAAAGAGAAACTCAAAATTATTTACTGGCTCACTCTTACCTTATCCATGATGATGTATTCAATAAAAGTTGCAGCTGCACCTCCATCAACCACCATAAATTCCAAACCATTCACATCTGTATTTAAAAGCATGTCCCAAGCAAGCTTCTGAAGTGTTGTAAAAGATTCATGGTATATTTCATACTGAAATTTAGTGTGAAGAAGGTGTTGGTAACTAGAAACAGAAAAGGTAACGGGTAGATTTAAAATTTTTCACAACACTCCTACACAACGGTGACGGTTATTTTATGACTTACCTGATAGAAAGTTGATAAGGGCAGTTAGAAACTGGAAGAAACTGGCCAGATTTTGCTTTTGTTCGTGCATACGGCTTCCGCAGTGAGACCATTTGATCAGAACGGATTTTAGCCATAGTTGATCTGAGGAGAGCATCAGGATATTGCTGGTACACCTTAAAAAGCTGGTATGCATATGAAGTCTTGTCACTCAGACAACATAAGGAACTCTGCAAGTTATTGAAATAATACATGTCATGTCAATTTAGCTTAAAAAATGAATTACAAAATGTATAGGAGACCCCACTTACATAGATCATAGCATTAATAACTGATAAATGAATGTCTCCAACTTCAACAACATCCATAAATTTTCTCTTAGCCCGCATGTTTTCTTGTGGATTTGCAACTACATATGAATTCCTGAAAATATTAAAACACGGGACATTAAAATGACTCTAAAACAGTTTCTCATCTAACCAATGGAGTCAACACTTACTGAAGTTCTTCAATCGTATCTGGAATAAGAGCCTTTTCAAAAGCAACTGAGTTAGATCTCATGTTTTGAAAGCGGCCTAGTAAAATGTCAACAAGCTTAGCAAACTTTTCATTTAAAACTTTTTCAATAACTTGTGGTTTTTCATCTTGGGCTTTCATGTTAAGAACCAGATTACCAAATTCTTTGTTAATTTTGGGATCCTGCTTGATTTCTTCCAGGCATAGTGACACACTCCGTGCAGTGGACGGATTTTTCATCATGTAGAGGATTCTTCTCTGAACAGCTCGAGATGTTTTATTCTTTGAGCCGTCTATTAATTTATAAAGTAAGTCTCTCCATGCTGCCATTGATATAGATTGATTGCGGACATTAGGCGACAGGTAAGCTGATGCAACTTTGCACAATAATAGAATATTATCTTCAGGTGCTGTCCATTCCACACGGAGCTTGCTCATAAGAGTTAATGCTTCCATATCTGTTTCATCATAGTACGGTTTCCGTTTAGAAGCCTTTGGCATGGGAACTTTACGAACTTGATTCTGGCGACTAGAGCGTTTCTTGCGCTCAACAGTTGTTTTAGGAGTTTCATTTTTATCTGATTTTTTGGGCACGAAATTTCTTGGAGACAGGGTTTCTCCAGCGATCTGTTTTTTCGACTTTGCTCCTAATGTTACTACTCTTCCTTTACTCTTTTTGGCTTGAGGAAGATGGTCATTAACTACAGGTGTGTGGGCGCCATCTATGTCTGAATCAGACACATGATTAAACCAATTCCAGTTTCTTTTCAGATGAGCAAACATTGCAGAATCAAGACCAGCTGCACCAAGATGGTCACCAGGTACATCACCAATATCTAGAAGAACAACTTCTTCTGGGTTACGGGGTTGTAAAGATGCTTCCATAGCTGGTTTGTTTTCTAATACCTCCAGTGTTATTTCTTTCCCAACCATACACATTCTTCCACCTAAATCGTAAGCAATCATATAATATCTGAACAACTAGAGTGACACTCACAAGAAGTAGATTGAAAGCTTACCTAATGGAGTGTTTACACAGATATTCCACATCTGATACCAATACTGATCAACATCTCGAAAGGATGCAAAATTAAAACGTAAAACTTTGTAGTCCATATCTCGAGAAATTTGGTGATAGCCAGCAGTCGTGGTGGTGGTATCCAAGAGAGATGTATTTCTGTTTAGATAAAAGAAAACCTGTCGACAAAGTAAGTGCTAATTAGCAACAAGACTAATACCAAACAGATTTTTTAATTATTGTTTTTATTTTATTTTTTTAAAGTTTTTATGTAATACCTGGTCTTTCTCTTTTAATTTCTGGGGTCCAAATTGAACAAGGCCTATATAACACAAGCGAGTGACAACTTCATGACAGTTAAAAATGTATCTGAAAGTTAAAATGAAGATGGATAGATAGATGGATAAAGAAAACTTTGCAGAACAAAATTACCAGTACATAGACAAATATTCTAACAAACCTGCGTGCTGCTGTCAACTGATTACGGATTAAAGGTGGCAAATGCTTCAGAAGGTAATGCTTTCGAATGGGATGTGAGAGGTACTCTTCAAGACCAGCTATTTCATAATTAATATTGACAAGATGTAGGAAAATTGAAAGTGGTAGACGTAACAAAATGTCACACATGATGGCCCAACCTTTAGGCCAACCAGAATGCTGAGGTAAGGGGGGTATAAACATTCTCCAATCTACAGCAGGAAAGAACACTTGAGGCATCTCTTGCACTATCTCAGGGGAAAGTGGAGTAATGTCATTTAGAGTCTCTTTCACTGTTTGTTGATCAAGATCAGAAATGCCAGCATAATCATGGATCACATAAAATAGAAGTTTATGCATTGTTTTCATCCTTACAAATTTGGGTTGATAACCATACTGCTTCCCAAGTTTCTGAAATGTATAGGTCAAGAATCAAACAATGACTACACTAAAAACTACATATTTCAGATGACCACTTTAATAGATATTGATGGAATACATACCCCACTACGTTTGAACGTTGCTGGGTCCAAAGAGGCCTTTGTAGAGTAAGATGAGTTCAAAACACTCATTTCACCAACACTTTCACAGATGGATGATGAATTAAATTTGGCATTTGTGTCATCAGCAGACCTAAGGGCCTTTTCCCTGCTTTCCTGCATCATCTGCTGAAGTCTATCATTGCTTGGAATAAACATTTTCATTTTTGCTTGATCTAAAGCAGACTGAATAATGCTATGGTCTGGAAAGTAAAAAAAGTTGTACTAATTGCCGTTTTACAATTAGATATAAGAAAGAAGCAGATTTACATCGCAAAACAAGTAATGTACTTTCGAGGTAAGCCTGTTTGTCCGAACCTAAATTATCTATTTTAGTAAATGAATTAATAAAATATGTCACAATATGTTATTTCATCTAGTTGTAGTTGTTGAAATAAAAGCTAATGCAGGTACCGATACCACTAGGAGGGCAAACCAGATGCCTGACTGCAGTTCCGGGCCTGGAAAAGCGTAAGTGAAATAACTTACACTATTTCACAAACTTAAGTAAATTAACTTATGTTTGAATAAGTCTTGGTCCGCACCACACCGCTGACATGAGCGGCTGTGGTGCCCTCCTGTGTCAGGTGTAATGTAATCTATTACACCTTACCACTGTGCGCCCCCAGGAAACAGAAAAATATCAAATAATGACATCATAGGAATCATTTTCACATCATCATCACATCATTCTGAGATTTCAAGCTCATTTTCATGTCAAAACGAGCTGAAAATGACACCCTTTGTCTGCTTCCTGGGCTGCGACTCTCAGATCTTTGCAGCTCGGCTCGCCTTCCCAATTAAAAGTTAATTTACTTAAGATAGTAAAACAGCGCAAGTTATTTCATTTACCCCTTTCCCTGCCCAGAATTGCAGTTAGGCACCTTGTTTGCCCTCCTGATGGTGTCTATCTCCACCCGTTTTAGCACTTATTTCAACAACTGACACTAAATGAAATAAGATATTGTAACTCAATACTTCACTTACTTTATAAACTAAAACAGTTACTTTGAGTTTGGACAAACGGAATGCCCCCATACTCCCTACTTTCGGTGTGAAACATTTAAATACTCTGGAACAATTTATTACATACCTACTGTTATATTGGGTTGACATACAAAATTTAGAGTTTTCTCTTTTGATGCACCTTTCATGTGCACTCTAATAGTTTTTATGTGCCCATCTTTATTTAATTTTTCTAGTAATCTATGAAGAGATTTTTTATCAATTTTTGTGTTCATGCCTTCCTTTTCTTCTTCTTCTTGAATCATCTGATAAAAATAACCAAATGACATTTTCTTATGATGCAGAGTAATTCAGGGTAGAATAATAATAAAAATAATAATTGTAAGTCACCTTTAAAAGCTTTGTCAGATCTTCAATTACAGTATGTTGCTGTACAGCTTGAATAATAAGATTAACCCTTTTCAGTACTCTTGTTGTGATGGCCGGAGCTTCCTTTTTGCTTTTACTTCCGTAGATGCTCTTTACCTCTTCAGTGAAACTTGAGCTGAATTGGATAACAAATTGATTTGATTTACTGGTACATACAAAATTTTATAAATTAAACTTATGAGAGTTTGGCAGACACAAAATTATAAATGCAGAGAATCATTATGCTTATGCTGTATGTTTCTATACTCTCTGTTATCTGGACTCTGACATTAACCAATAAATTCTAACAATAATTTGAAGTAAAAATACTTACTCTTTTGTCTCTATATAAGAAACATCTTCATCAATAACAATTTTTGTAGGATTACCACAATCCAGATCAATACTTGGATCCTGCAGGCATAACTCTGTGGTAACAGTTTTTCTCTTTCTAGATGATTTTGGTGTTTTGAGTGTAACAGGCTCTGTTGTTGACATGGATAACTCCAAATTGCTTGACAGTAATTCACTTGTAGCGTCAAAATCTTGCTGACTCAAGTTACAGTCACCATTTTGGTCATGTTCATCATCAAAAGACTCCATAAAGGGAAAATCTGGTGCTTCCTGTTTAACACATTCCACAAAAAGTGGAATTTCTTCTTGTGACAAAATACTATCAACATGGGGGAGTCCATTTCCTTCTTCAAATTTAGTTCTCTTCTCCACCGATTCAAGAACATCACCTTAAACAAAGTAGCAATGAGTCAATAATTTATTGATAAATGATACACTCTTAATTTATACAATTAGAAGTAATAGACACTATAATATTTTACCTTCCAATTTCCTCTTGTTCTCATTAGGTTTAGTGGACAGAAGTAACAACATCTTGTCTCTCTCTTTGTGAAACTCCTGACTCAAGTGGCCTGATAAGTCAAAGCGCTTTGAACAGTACCTAGAAAATGTAAGTTGATGGGACTTAAATATAGTTAAAGGAAGAAAAGAAAAGGGAAATTGTGGGCACAGGCACAACAGCGGGAAGGAAGGTTGTAAAGGTACTTGCCTGTAAAAACGTTGACGCCCAACATCATGCATAAAAGTAGAGACCAAATTCCTACGAAGTAAATTACGACACAATGTTCTTGCTTGAAGTTTTGTCATCCCTAATTTTTTTGATAATTCTACTTGAGTTAAGCCATTAGGACCAGACTCATCAACTGCATTAAACGCCTGTGTCATTAGAGGAACATCTAGCAACCGTGTAGATTCATCAACAAACCCTGATAAAAAAAACAAAAAACAAACAAAAAAAACAGAGATGAAATATACTGAAGCCAGAGTTAATGTTTAAATCATGGTTTGTATAGCAACACAAAAAGTTTATTACCAATCCCTTCCTCTTCTTCCTCAACTTCTTCCTCTTTAACCCACTCATCCTTCACAGAACAATTAGGATTCACTAACTTGACAACTTTCAATTGTTTTTCTTTGTCAGACGCTTTGTGTTTCCAAAGTTCCCTTGGAGCATCAGGGTATAGAGTACGGAAAGGTACTTTCTGAAAAATTCAAAAAATGCCATGTTTAAAAACAATGAAAGCAATTGAAAAACTGAGCAAACAAGATGATTTTTAATCCAGAAAATTACAATACCTCAGTCTTGATAAAACGAAGAAAGTCGGGTGTTTTAAACAATTTTTTCGAAATTGATGTCCCACCCATTTCGTTACGAATTTCTTCATAATCCACTATACAATTAGGTCTACTTTTTACGATATCTACAACCCTTTCAGTCCAAAAGTAGATTTTTGACTTGTGTTCAGAATAAAACCGAGGCAAATGCAACAAACTTCCACTACAGTTCTGAGCATTTGCATTTGACTTAAGATTAAAACCCTGGAATATTAGAAGCATAATCAAGAAAGTAAGTAATAAATTCTTAAAGGGCAAAATAAAATATAATAGAAAATTACTTTAACCATGGGCAAGCCAACAAAGAATGATATAAAGTCCAAAGAGCAATATACCAAAAAACTGTCCACATACCTGTTTGGTAATAAGCTTATGATGAAGTAAGCTTTTCCGATAGTAGAATAAACTCTTAGGATCTTCTCCAGTACAATGTAAACTAATCTTGCCTTGTGTGACCTCTCCATGGTATCTGGCACGTCCAATCCGTTCAAGTATACAGTAATGCATAGCCGTAAATTCTAGACAAGGATCAACATCATCTCCCATCAAGGCGGCAGACCGTACACATTGACTGGCAACAAGGACTAATCGTGATCCCCATCTGAAAGGTAAATTTAGTTTGGTAAAATACTTTGATACAGAAGTTGAACTGTAGTAAGAGTACACAGAAGATGCAATAATTTGTTTACTTTTGGTCTGCTTCTTGGAGTGTAGAAGTTTTAGCTCTGTCAGTAATTTCTTCACGATCATCATATGTTGTGCATGATCCAACAATTCCCCTGACTTGATCATCAATAACTTGAAAAGGGTATATGTCTACTGGTATCACTTCCTAGTTCACATAAAAGAAAATAAGGTATTAGCATAATACACAAATCTTTGAAGCAGAGAAAATGGACTTCAAAATCTTACTGGTTCTATAACATTTCCAAGCTCATGATCAACCAATGCAAAGCGGTTGAACAAGACCAGAGGTGCTCTTGGTTTCGGCAGTTCAAACATTTCAACATCTTCAAGTCTTTTCACTATTTCCCAGATGAATTTTTGAGAATCAGCATCAATTAGAATAGGAAAATATGGACATGCACCTAATCGTACCCATAACGCTGAAAAAGAAATATCAGTTATAAAGGGAGCTACAGGTATAAGAAATGAAAGGCAAACAAACTATTTAAGACAATCCTCCAACCTACCTTGTAATGTTATTCCATCCAATCCTTCAAGAGCAATCTCATCTAATATGGTCGCAGTATAATCCAAACTGTGACTAGAGAGCTCCTTTTCAGAAGATTGTGATATTCTGCCGAACATTTTCTGGGAGAAAAGGTACTTTTCCTGATATAAAATGCAGTATCTACAAAGTATAAGAGAATACCTAGTTAGGTCAGATAAGTATGACATAATTAATGTATGACAGTAATTACTAAAAACTTTTAGTGTTAGAGCTTTCCAAATTTAGCGCTCTTATTCCAAGTAAAGGATTGAGAGAGGGAAAAGAAGTACGAAAGGCAACAAATGGATCTGATTTATTCGCTACCAAAATAAGCTGATAAAACTGGGGAGAATAAAAAATACACCGAACAGCACAAAGTTGGAAGAATCAAGGAAGTGACCAGAGTGAAAAAGGTGAGAGATTTCTAACCTTGCTCGCGCCGCAAGAGGCTGTCAGATCGGCGCTTATCACCGACATGCAAGAGTGAATGTCAAGGAGAGTGTGCCGGCTACTCGAGCAGATAATTAAACCACATGGACACCGATGATTCATAGCAAAAATAATACGACTGAAGAGACATTTTTAACAAAAACAATACAACTCTACTGTCGGCAATGTCGAGCAGCGCGTCGAAGGGAGAATAAAAAGAACATTGCGATTGGTCAACTACAAGAGGAGTTGTAAAATTCTCATATTTTGCTACATTCTAATTTTTCATACGGGTGTTTACAATAACCTAACCTGCCTTGACCTCGTTGTTTTGTGTCTTGTGTTCTGACTTGCTGACGGTACCTTCTTTTACAAGAAAAGATCATTCTTCCTATCCTCTTCGAAATCTGGCAGTCAATATGAGCTGCAATATTTGTAACGACGGAGCTTCGAAGTATAAATGTCCGTCATGTCGGATACCCTAGTAAGTGTTGTCCTCTCAAACATCGCCGTGTATTGTGTTCTGCTGCTTTTCAGTGGGAAGCAGCCCATTTAACCACAAGGAACGCCACTCGATTCTTGTTCTTCTTAGTCGGATGTTTCTGACTGATTTTCTTGATTTTTTTTGGAGTGTTGATCTTTGCTCTTTTTAAATTCATCCTCCTATTCTTGATTCTAGTTGCTCAATACCATGTTGGAAGAAACACAAGAATGACGGCTGTGGGGACGAAGTTGTTACTATCACCACCGCAGCAAGTTTAAACAATGCGGCCATTCCTGATGCTCAAAAACCAAAATATATTTTTCCAACAGAAGACACTGTGCCTCCAGAAAAACTGCAACTGCTTCGTAAGCGGTTTTGACATATCAAAGTATTTTAATTGTTTCGCATTACAAACTCTATTAATTTTTTTTATTTTTTCCAGGCGACAACATGCAGTTGAGGAATATCTTATCCAATCCGCATGTTAGAACTATTTTATCATCTCTGGACAATGCAACTAATCCCAGCAAGCATCTACATGACGCAATGCAAGAACCAATTTTTGTGGAGTTTGTTGATGAATGTATGAAGACATTAAACCCCCCCACACAAGAAGAACTGGATGAAGCTATTTTGCAATCATTAGACTTACAAAATATTTAGAATAGGAGTTTTAGGAATCAAGAGTCCGTCATATGATTGAGTTTTTTTTCTGTTATACCAAAAATATGTAAATTTTTCAGTGCTTTAAAAGTGGAAAAGAAAGAAGTACCACCATGTTCAGTTTTTTATACTGTCAAGATACATCATCATCGGCTCGACCTCATCAAGAACAAGTCAAGAACCTTACCAATAAGTTTTTTTTCAGTTTTCACAAATACATTGACTTTAAAACTTCTTCATTGTTCACTATATTTATAATGTCTTAAAAAATACCGATTTCACCTTGTATGGACAGAATTTCTTTCCAAATTGGTTTGACTCTTTTATGGCCACAGTTATGGCCAATAAGTGAGAGTTATTCCTATCTGTATGTAGGTAATAAATATATATAATGTATAGACATGTTATGGTTTGTGATATTGAGATAGATATGTACAGGTATGTGTATAAATTT